CTCTCTCAAGCTTCTCCACATCCTTTTTGAATTGTGGAACCCAAAACTGGATGCAGTACTCCAGCTGCGGCCTCACCAAGGCCGAGTACAAGGGGAGAATGATGTCCTGGGATTCACTTGAGAAGCATCTATGGATGCAGGCCAGCATTTTGCTTACTTTGCCAGCAGCAGCATCACATTGAAGGCTCACATTCATCTTGTGATCAATCATGACCCCCAAGTCCCTTTTGTCCGTAGTGCTAGCTAGCGTAGGACTGCCGTGCCTATAAGGATGCTTCAGGTTTTTCCTCCCAAGGTGGATAACCTTGCATTTTTCAGTATTAAACACCATCAGGTTCTTGTCCGCCCATTTTCTGAGCCTGTCAAGGTCTGCCTGTATCACCCTTCTGTCCTCAGGTGTGGATGCTTTACCCCAGAGGTTGGTGTCATTGGCAAACTTGGCCAGTCCACTGCTGACACCAATGTCGACATCATTAATGAAGATATTGAACAATATGGGTCCAAGGACAGAGCCTTGGGGGACTCCACTGGTCACAGGGCACCATGATGACTGACTTCCATCAACCACCACCGTCTGGGTCCTACCGCGGAGCCATTTCCCCAGCCAGCGGATCATGGTGTGACCGAGGTCTGAGCTGGCCAGTTTTGCCAAGAGGTGATCATGGAATACCAGATCAAAGGCTTGTTTAAAGTCAAGATATATGACATCAATCACTTCTCCCTTGTCCAGGTGATAGGTCACCTGGTCATAAAAAGAAATGAGATTGGTCAAGCAAGACCTACTCACAACAAACCCACGCTGGCTATCCCTCAGGATGTTGCCATCAGCCAGTCTGTTAAAGATGGCCTCTTTGATAATCTTTTCCAAGACCTTCCCCGGGATAGAGGTCAGGCTGATGGGCCTGTAGTTTTCTGGATCTACTTTCCTCCCTTTCTTGAAGATAGGCACCACATTCATCTTCTTCCAATCTTTGGGCACTTCACCAGAGCACCAGGAGTTCTCGAAGATCCATGCCAGGGGCTAGGCTATGATGCTCGCCAGCTCCTTGAGAACCCTAGGGTGTAAACTGTCAGGGCCAGCTGACTTGAAGGTATCCAGCTTCTCAAGGTGTTCCTTCATGAGGTCAGAGTTGATGGAGTGTAAGGAATCTCCCTCACCCAGGCCTTCCTGTCCCATACTGGGCAGGAGGGTCCCATGGGACTGGTGAAAAACTGATGCAAAGTACCCATTTAGCAAGTTTGCTTTTTCCTGGGCATCATTTTATCCTCTGCCTGGAGAGTGGCACAGATTGTATTTACCTCATCTCCATTTCTTCTATTTATTTCATGGCTCAGTAGAAGTAAGCCTGTGCTCCTGGGCAGAAACAGTCAAAACTATGTGGTACTTGTATGATTCAGGAAAATGTTCACTGAAAAAATGAAACAACAAGATTTAATCATCATCTATAGGTGTTCTTCCCTTGTGTTCCTGAATATGCTGAGAAACAACCATCCCACCTGCTCCCACACCACATGCGCCCAGCCCACAGATGAAACACTGAAGTTTCCTTGAGAGTACTGATCACTTTGAAACACTCTAGTGAAAGACAGCTTGAGAGCTGGGTTGGGGAGGGAAAGGGGAGGGAGGAAGGAGAGCATCTCTTCATAGCAGCTTTGCAACCTCATTTCTAGGTTTGGTGCGTGCAATGGGAATGGTGGATGGGGATGTGCTTCTTGGTGGTGCTTTCAGGAGCACTGCAGAAACAGTATAGACATATTGCAGAAGTGTACAGCTAGTTCTCTAGCTCTTTGTGGACGTGTCTACATGTGAAATTAATTAGATGCAACAAACTCTGGCACAGTTTGTGCTGGAGTTTATTGCTCCCGGGCACAGCATTTACATGTGTGCCCAGGACCACAGCACATTGAACCAGGGCAGAGTAGCCCTGGCTGGCAGGGAGGCTCTAGGGGTCAGCCTGCTAGCCCTGTGCTGCTCTGACTTGGCTTAATGTGCTGTGGAGGATCTGGCTGGGGCATGAAGCTGCTCCAGTGCAGGGTTCTCCAGTAGGCAACCTGGCACTGGAGTACCCTCCTGCCCCAGCTGGCCCCAATTAGTGTCTACACATGCATTGTGGGAAGTAAATAACTCCCCTGTAGGATATTATTTGTGTCATGTAGTAGTATCCTATAGCAGAGTTAATTAATTTACTGTGGCCTAATAGCACTGCAAATATAGATGCTGATGCTTCACTGAAGAACTAATTAGTCAGCTCCACAGCAGACATGCCCAGTGACTATCTGCTTTGCTCATCTAAAAAAAACAAAAAAAGAACAGGCTAGTGATTAGCATCATCAGTAAATATACGTGACAACTACTGAGCTAGCACATTGTGCTCCCTGTTGTTCCACGTATTTGGTCATGCTAGTGCACTGGCCAATAGACAAAAATCACAAGAGGGCCATTCTTAGTGAAGGGATTACAGCAGGTAGCACGTCCAACAGGAGTTGCTGTGCCCTTATCTCAGTGTTATGTTATTGTCTTTTCTCTGAATACTTCTACACTTTTCTTTGTGAGTAGCTAGACCTCCTCCTGACTCTGGTTGGTTTGGGCATGCAAATAACAGGAACAGGTACCATATTTGACAGTGTACAGGTCAACAAGGTGTATAAGTCAACCCCGTTTTTCTGATCCCAAAAGTTAGGAGTTTCGTAGATCTGATGTACAAGTTGACCTAATTTTGGGGATCAAAAGTATGGGGTCAACTTATACTGGCCCCTGCTCACCCTCACTGCGGGCTGGACATGGATGGTGGCACGAAAAGATGCCACAGTGCCACTCACAGGGGCTGGAGCTGGGCTTGGCACTCAGCTGGCATGGCCCCATCCCCTGCGAGTGGTGCTGCCTGGGCCATTCCATGTGAATGCCAAGCCTGGTGCCCCTTACAGGGGACAGGGTCAAGCTCACCACCCAGCTAGGATGGCCCAGGCAGTGCTGCTCGCAGGCAACAGGCCAGGCTCAGTGCCTAGCTGAGGAGCATCTCCATAGTGATGGTAAGGCCCATAGGCTAAAGCTGGGCCCAGACCTCATAGAGTCCAGTGACAGGGATGCTGACGGTAGGTGAAGAAGATTGGGCCAGGCGGGGGCCGGACTGGGGTGTCACTGGGGTGAGGGTCAAAAGTATTGATACAGTGTATAAGTTGAGGTGGAAATTTAAAGGTACCATATTCCACAGTGTTTAATCAACATGATGTATAAGTCACCCCCATTTTTCTGATCCAAAAAGTTAGGAATTTTGTAGATCCAGGTACAAGTCGATCTAACTTTCTGGATCAGAAATATAGGGTAGACTTATCCTGGTCCCTGTGCACCCTCACTGTGGGCCATGCACCTCAGGGTAGACACGTGCTGCACTGCTGCTTGCAGGGGACAGGGCTGGGCTCAGCCTTGGCTGGCATACCCCCATCCCCTGTGAGTAGTGCTGCATGGGCCATGCCAGCAGAGCACCAAGCCCGGCTGTGCCACTGAGTCTAGCACCAGTTGCAGGGGACAGGGCTGGGCTCAGCACTCAGCAGTGCCATTTGCAGCAGACAGGGCCAGGCTTGGTGCTTGGCTGGCATGCCTCCATCCCCTGTGAGCGGTGCTGCCTGGGCTTCATCAGCTGAGCACCAAGCCTGGCACTGCTCACAAGGGACAGTGATACGGTGTATAAACCAAGGCTGAATTTTAAGAGTTAAAACTTGGGCTTCAAACCTCAACTTATACACCATGAAATGTGGTATCATATTATTGCTAAATTAAAGCATTTTTGAACATAACATGAATATTATGCATAGTCACAGGAATTATGGAATGATTAATATAGGCCATATTGTTTTATGAGCAATTTTTTGCTTTCCTTTGTTATTTTAATGTTGAAATTCTACTTATTTGTACAGGTATTTACAATTTACCAATTATATGCATTGGATATTTTCTTGGAGGCTTGCTGATGAAGAAATTTAAGACAAATACTATTCAAGCTGCCAAAATAGCCTTTTGGATCTCTTTACTTGAATACCTTATCTACTTTGCTGCTTACTTCATGGTCTGTGAAACTTCTCCAGTTGCTGGTCTAACAGTCTCCTATGAAGGGTATATTCTTTTATGTCACAGTGCTGAAATGACCTGTTGTTTCCTTGTAATAAAATATGTTCTAATAAGTACCTTGCCAAGGAGGTTGGTTTTGGAAGAACAAAATGCTCTTCCAGAAAAAGAACAAAAAAACAGGTTCTAAATTCATAGGTTACAGGGGTTGTCAACCTACGGCATATGAGCCATATTGGGCCTGAAGATGTGGGTCTTTGGCAGCATTTGGCAGTGTGGGGTTTTGGCAGTAGTTGCTTTTCCATCCTGCCTTATGGAGATGTGCTGTAGGGGAAGTGGTGGTGGTAGCTTGGTTCTACCACCTGCATTTCTCTGATTGGAACTAGATCACTCCAGCCTGCAGCCTGAAAAGGTTGCTAACCCCTGTCTAATGCACCAAGGTAGGAAGTCTAGATTTGGTTTCCTGCCCTCCTACCTCAACCCATTAAAAGAAGTAGTACTGAGGAGGTGGTTAGCACAGCCCTGGATGCCTTCTTTGGGAGATGAAGTACCCTGGGTCTCAGCAAAGGAAGTGTTTTAAACTATGTCCTTTAATGTTCTAAGGACTTAAAATAGACCATTGGCTCCGTTTTTCTAAACGGTGCATGCAAAAATGAACACAAAAATTAGAGTCACCATTTCCATGTCAGACTAATGTAGTTACACATTTAAGTTATGTAACTGCCATTGTTAGTAAACTGTTATTCATCTAATTGATCATTCATACAGGAAAGTAAAAACGATGGAGAAAATGTCACTTTCACATATAGTAGTTTATTATACGAAAATTAGGGTTGGAAGGGACCTCAGGAAGTCATCTAGTCCAACCCCCTGCTCAAAGCAGGATCATCCCCAACTAGATCATCCCAGCCAAGGCTTTGTCTAGCCAGATATTAAAAACCCCCAAAGATGGAGATTCCAAAACCTCTCTGGGCAACCTGTTCCAGTGCTTTACTACCTTCCTTGGGAGAAAATTCTTCCTAATATCTAACCTAAACTTCCCTTGCTGCAACTTGAGACCATTTCTCCTTGTTCTGTCATCTGCCACCACGGAGAACAGGCTAGCTCCATCCTCTTTAGAACCACCTTCAGGTAGTTGAAGGCTGCAATTAAATCCCCCTTCAGTCTTCTCTTCTCCAGACTAAATAAGCCCAGTTTCCTTAGCCTCTTCTCAGAAGTCATGTGCCTCAGCTTTCTAACCATTTTCAGTGCTCTCCACTGGATTCTCTCCAATTTATCTACATCTTTTCTCTAGTGAGGGGCCCAGAACTGGACACAGTACTCCAGATGTGGCTTCACCTGTGCTGCATGAAGGGAAATAATCACTTCCCTCAATCTGCTGGCAACTCTCCTCCTAATGCAAGACAGTATACTTTTAGCCTTCTTTGTAACAAGGGTTCATTGTTTGCTCATATTCAGATTATTGTCCACTGTAACTCCCAGGTCCTTTTCTGAAAAGCTGCTGCTCATTTTTTTAAGTTCTTGATAGAGTGTTTTAATTTTCAGCATTAAAAACAATGTAAAGAGATTAGTTTTGAGGTATTTTAATCTTCAGTTGTTTATCTTTTGAATGTCTTTCAGAATAGAACAAGTTTCATATATGGAAACAACCCTACTTGCTGACTGCAATAGTGATTGTGATTGTACACTAAAAGTGTGGGATCCTGTTTGTGGGGACAATGGAATAACTTATGTTTCACCTTGTCTTGCTGGATGTAAAGGATCAAATGGCACTGGAAAACACATGGTAGGGCACACATTTTGTCATGCTGTGCCTTGAACTATGGCCAACGTGATGCAATGGCAGAAATACACACACCTATGGACTTAACTAGAATTCATAAAGTGTCTGTAAGACGTGGGCAAAGTGGTCTGGATAAAATAAAAACTAGCCTGATGCTTTGCTCAGAAATGAATATCAACATAGATTTAATTAATCTTTTTCAAACTAAATAGAAGTCCAAATAAGGGCCTTGTTACATGGTAATTTTGGGTGGCTCCTGGAACTCTTAACACCTGTAGTCCATATATTAGCACCTAAAATGACTTTTAAACAATCATTAGGCATCTCCAAGTTATGCCACACAAGCACAGGATTAGCTCTGAACCATGTTACCCAGCTTGTGTTACACTAAGGTGTAGCCACTCCTTAGTGTAAACACTCCCCTATTGGCTTGGATTGAGCCCACCCAGATCCCTGCTTACTGTTCCTCCCTTGTTTTCCCCTCTCCAGTTTATATGTGGCTGCCCACACTGTCTATTCCAGGAGAGCAGGCATGGAAGGGTTAATCTGCTTGTCTGGCCACTGCTGCTCTTTGAGTAGGTTCGGCCTAGAGAACAGCAGCAGCCCAACAGGGGCCAGGCAGACAGGCTAACCCTTCCTTGCCTGCAACCCTTAGACAGACAATGCAGGGACAGACAAGTCAGGGAGGAGGAATCTGGGGGGCTGGGGAGAACCAGGGGAGCCCTGGGGGTCAGGGGGGAGCCTGGAATGAGAGAGTGGAAGAATTCTTACCTTTCAGTCCTCCAGGCCCCTGCTGGCTTGAAGTATGACTGCTCCAAACTTAAGCTAGCACTAAAACCAATCAATGTTTGTGTGCCTAAGTGTAAGGTGCAACAAAACCCTAAGTCTGTTCTGATCACAGACAAAAGTAGATACATCAAGAATACCATATGCGAAGGCTTTTATGATATTTTCAGTCTGTGAAACCTGGAAGAATTAGTGATCACACAGCAAGAATTAAACTCTCTACCAAGGATAGAATAATCTCTTAAATTCTATAAGATGGTTAGAAAATAACACAGTAAAGAGTTATAAGCCTTATACTTTCTGAATTTTCTGTTAGGTTTATACACATATGTTAGGTGGGACATGGCTAAGAATAATAATACAATGCAATCAAAAACATTGTAAAGAATTTAGAAACCAGTAAAATATTTTAAGGAGCTATAAGATCAGAGAGAGGGTCAGATGGTGATGCTCTTGCTCATATGTACACTAGAACCTAGATACTTCACAAGTTCCTTTCCCCCCAGGAGAAGATGAAAGTTTCTAAAGTATCCAAAGGCATAGAAAGCCACAGAAAACAGCTGTGCAGGACTGATGATGTGATGTGCTCCAGCTGTGGCTTTTATTTCAAAGGGTTCTGCTTTTCTGATCAGCTATGTGGGGATGCTGATGAGCTCCAGCTGAGTAGAGAAGCTGCACCCTTTGAAGTAAAAGCTACTCAAAAGAGTGGAGGGGCTTGCTCCTTGTTCTGCATGCTGCAGGGAATGAAGTTGGTTGTGAACCACCTGGCTATGAATGATCTAGGCTCTACCTCATCACAAACCTTTGGAAGTCCTTTTTGCGGTGAACACCATGTTTACCCAAATACATGACAACCCTGACTGTACAATGAACCCCCCCCCACCCTATACTTATATTCTACACATGGCAAAATTTGTACATTTATTATAATTGTCCAGGTATGGAATCTAATTATTGGAGGATCATCCTAAATTTATACCCCCCACTGCTGCAGGTGGTGGGGGAGAGGTATTGAGGGGGGCAGTAATGGGGCAGGTTGTGGGGGATAGACAGTTGAGGAGGAAGTAGGGAGGGCACATGGTAGGGCAGGCAGTGGGGGGTGGTGAGGAACAGGCGGTAGCGGGGCAGGCAGCTGCAACTCCAGCTGTAGCTCCAGCCCCAGCTCTGGGTTGGGACTGGAGCTGTAGCCATTACCTGACCCCTCCCTTCCCCACCTTACACTGCATCTTCTAATTTAGAAAACATGGTAATACTTTGACCTCAATATGTCACGTGGAATAATATACTGTTTTGTGGGCGTGAGGGTAATCACATTTTGAGCCTTAGTGATGAAATCTGTCTTTTGACAGGTATTTGAAAACTGTGCCTGTGTTGCAGCATCAGCATTTTCATCTAGAAATATCTCTGCAGTTCTGGGCCAGTGTGATAGAGAAGAAAACTGTGACAAGATGCTTCAGTATTTTTTAATATTATCGTTAGTCTGCTGTTTCATTTATTCTTTAGGAGCCACACCAGGATACATGGTCTTAATAAGGTAGAATAAAACAGTATTATTGTAAGACCTTAAGAGCTCAGCTGAAAAATTCATATCAAGACATGAATCCCGTAGTCATTAGAGAAGTTCTAGATGTCTTCTATACCGAGCATTAGGATTTATGATAAAAGTTGTCAGCTTTATAACCTGATGTGGCTTCTGCCTATCTGCTGTGTCCCAGATTAATACAAAGTCAATGTTCTAAGACATCTCAATACGGTGCATAATTGTTAGTCTGTTAGATCTGTTGGCCTCCATGCAAATCTGGATGATATTGTCAGAGGACCCTTCTCTTTTGTGCCTTGAAAGTTCTAGACAAGTACCTGAAAAAGACCTCCACTTTAATGAGAGCCATTTAATCAGAATAATGGTCTCATTAAAAGGATTTTGGTTGAAAAACTAGCAGTAAGTTTATAACATTTATGTATATTGCCATTTTTTTCAATATCCAATGCAATTATTGCTTAGGTCTCTAAAGCCTGAAGAAAAGTCATTTGGTGTGGGCATCCATGCATTAGCTGCAAGAGTATTAGGTAAGACATGCTTTAAGCACATCTTGAGTACTTCTATGCCCAGGATCAGAGATGATATTCACAATATGCACCCTCTCTTATATGACAAAAACCTTCTTAGTTGCTGATGGAAAAGGCAGAGATAGATTAAAACAAATAGATTTGTTTTTTGGAGGCCTGGGGAGCTGAGTAGAAAATAGAGCAACTTTTAGATTGTTCTTATTTATGCCAGGGACTAGACAAGGTCCAGGTCTAAAACCACTTTATGCCCCTTCCTTCTTGCAGAATATACACCAGGAAAAAATTCAGCTGAAAGACGATTTTTTTCCTTAGATCTCTCTGGTGAGAATGTGCAAATGCTGACTTTTGAGTAGCAACCACAACATGCATATTTTAAACTGCTGTGTGTATTAAATGTTAAAGAGGGATCAAGAAGGAAAGTACCTACTCAGGTGGAGGACACTAATGAAGGACTGAGGATTATATGAAACAGAGGTAATGTGGATGGTATAGGAAAAGAGAAGGATAAATACAAACAGCCGTGGCTCTATAATTCTATTAATTACCATAACAGGTGAGGTATTTATGTAGCATCATAGATGTCTTATAGGTCTTTACCATCATACCTTTTTCTTTTTAGCTGGGATACCATCTCCTGTTTATTTTGGAGCTTTGATAGATACTACATGTTTGAAATGGGGAACCAAAACATGTGGTGGAGAAGGAGCTTGTAGGATGTATGACATTGTCACATACAGGTACAATTTTTTTTTGCATATTTATCTATCCTTTTTTAACTGTATTTATCACTGTATCATTTATGTGCTTGGTCTTTCTGTAGTTGAAAAACAACACATTGAGATTGGAGATTCCAAATTTCTTTCAGTATCAACTTATTTCCTCTTAAGGCAAACTTGGCCCAGTATTGTCTTTCATAATAGATTGTGACTAGAAATTTCCTTTTTGGAATCTGCATGCATCTAGTCCCTTCATCACAAAGGATCTTAAAATACTTTATTATAGTAAAGGCATTGTTTCATTCACCTCAGAAATGCAGCAATTTGGTGGGAGGTGGCTACTGTTCAATAGCTGACAGCACTAAACAACAATGTTAAACAAGAAGTGAATGACACTGTATCCAAATGAAATTACTGAAGGAATTTAGCTAGACAGAGTGTAGTTACCCAAGTTGGAATGAATCCAACATACCATTGTGAAAGCTTTTGTTCCTACAAGGAATACTGCAGATCTTGAAAAATGGTAGGTATTTAGGCCCCCATCAGCCTTACATAGGCATGTTGGTTCCATGTGGGATCACAAGGAACAATACCAGTTCCTGAATAATCAGTGTTCCCTCATCCATGCATTTATCCAATCTAGACTGATAACAAAAGGATTATGGCACAACCTATGAACAAAAACATATTCTAGACTAGCTGGCTGTTGCCCTGAAGGGAATTGCATTGCAACAAAATAGAAAGCCCTGTTGTGCTTCATGTGTATGCACGTTTAATAAAGCATACTTTTATTCCAGATGGTTCTACCTGGGTCTGCCAGCAATATTGCGTGGAGTGTCCTATATCCCATGTGTGTTAATTCTCCTTATTTTAAAGAAGCAACTTAAATCTTCTGAAAACATCCTTTTATCGGACACACCAATGGAAATGCAGGTCAAAGAAGAGGAAATGAGTGAACAGAGGCATTCTTAAGCCTAAATATTTGCACTACACATCATGGGACAACTTTGTAGTGTAAACCTGGACATATCTTTATTAATGATAAGTTGCTGAAACTAGCCAATGCTTATCCTGAGACTAATATAATTCTAGATAGCTAGTTCCCCATTCTTTTATTAACAACATAAGATACAACTCCAGAGCAGACAGTAAAAAAGGAGCATAAATAGTACAAAACAATCCAGTCTCCAATATAATAATTTAGGGAATATCAGAGGCTAGTAATCTGAGTAAAAAACTATGAACCCCAAAATACCTGCGGTGAAATTCTGGACTCCCTTCAAGGAGGTTCAAGTTTTATCCCTGAAGTCTATATCAGGTTCTGCCACAGGTTCACTCTTTGTAAACTAGTCACATAACCACTTTGTGCCTCAGTTTCCTACAGTGGAGGAGGAAACTTTTCTATCTACTTAGATTGTAAGCTCTTTATGGCAGGGACCATATTTTGGTTCTGTGTTTGTACAATACGAGTAGAGCTTTTGGTGCTGTGGTAATACAAGTAATAAAAAGAATAATACCTTGGTATGAAGGGTATTTAATGTTTCTACACAGCATTTAAGATGGAAATCTCTCAGTATTTGTGATATGACAGAAAATATTTCACTAAAGAAGGAAATAAATCATGGTGCATGTGAGTTGTAAGTGACAGAATAATAAATGAGGGCTGTTTTGCACATTGTATTGATGGCTACTGAAGATTGTATTTCCCCAGCTTGTTCCTTGAAGGGTATATGATAGTCACTAATTTAGCACTAATTTGTATATCATCAGCTTTACCCATCTCCCTTAGTCCTTTAATCTCTTCTTTATGGAAAAAGCATTTGGGATGCTATAATGAAGGCCTGAACTAAGAATTGCAGCTAACGATCCATCACAGGTTGATGGTGAGTAAGCTCTCCTAAGTAACCTTAAACATTGTGGGAAAAGAAAGATGGAGACAGTGACTTATTCTGCATCTCCCTTTAGCAAATCTGTTGGAAAAAGGGATTGTTGTCCTCTGCTGTATGGGGGTCTGGAAAAGATCTCTGGGACTATGCTCTCTAGCATACAGCAACACTACATCCTGTACAATGATTTCTAACATATTTAACTGTGTACAACAAAAAGCTGCACTCCTCCTACAGCTGGAACCAAGAGCTAGAGAAAAGTTGTATATTTACCCCCAAAGGGTAAATATAAGTCCATTTAAATTTTGTTTTGCTTTGGGAGTGGAATACATGATGAAGAGCCTACAAAGGGTTTCACAGCTCATTATTTTGAAGAACTATGCCATGGTCATTGCTTCCTCCTGTAGCAGCCAACAGTGCTGGACTCCTGCACTGTAGGGAGGGGGAAATATATCACATAATGCATTTCATAAAAGGCTGTTACAACAAGTACTGCTCTGTAGTCTTCCTCAGGTCACCTAAAGGCATTGTGTGCTTACTTGAGGCCCAATTTGTGCTAGTTTCTTTACTGGTCTTGCAACAGTATATTGCAAGATATTTTTAAAAAAATGACAATCCCACCCCATGGAAATTACATTCCTCCAAAGCTAGAGTTAATATCTCACAAACATTTCTCGCTAGTCACAGTTTGCCAAGGTAACCTGGGAAACATGGAAAAGATGCACTGCACTGAAGTCTCACAGCAGTGACAAACAAAGCAGCTTTGTTAGTTAAGCAATTCTGTGGAGTTAATGGCAAATACTGCCAAGGATTTCGGAACTATATATAACTCACAATAGAATGAGTTACAATTCATATAGGAACAGTCTCCAGGTTTTAAAAGTGGCACTCTAGTACTTAAGTTCACTTTCTTTCTAATTTGCAAAACATGCGTCTCTCTCCATATGGTTCAGACAGCATTACAGAGAATATCAAGTTTTTAGGATTGGTTTTGGAGGTTATAAAAATTCAAGGAACTATATCCTGTATCTCTCCAGGTGACTTTGATCTTGCCAAGTGTTGAAGATACTTTGATTTCAGTTTAGCAAGGCACTTAAGCTTCTGCTTAACTTTAAACACATTAATAGTCCCACTGACTGCTTATCTTTAAACACGTGTGTAATGCTTCTGATTTAGCACTTTTCCAAGCTGCAGGCTGGATAAGTGGTATGGTGTCACTTACTCTGCAGGATGGATCCAATGCCCAGTCCATCATGGGATTGGTGCACAGGCAGAATTCAGCAAGTGGCCCCAGGCCTGTGTATGTTGGATCAGGCCTGCTGCCCCAGTCCTGGCTCCATGTGCACCAGATTGGGACCACCACTCCAGTGCTGATCCTTCATAGGGCAGTTTGGGTCTGTTACCCCAGCCCCAACCCCATATGTGCTGCACATGATGGATTGAGCTAGATCCACCCTAGGCCTGGTCCCGCACACCCTGAATTGGGCCACTGCACTACCCCTAGCCCCTCATGTGTCAGACTAGACCCTGGCCCTGGTCTCATTTGCTGATCTGATCCAGCGCACAGGGCTTGGAAATTAGTCAGTGGAAGAATGGTGACAATGTTAAGGGGTGGCTTCCCTGCTGCAGGGAGCCCCATAGGGGCTAAGCCGTTTTGGCCTGTAGTACAGAAGTTGAGCACTGCTAATTTTGCACATCACAGGATTCTGCCAACAGCTGCCATGCACCTGATTTAACCATTTGACTTAATTTTGACAAAATAAAGAAGCAAATAAAAATTATGCTGGTTTTAAAGCCACATTAAACCATCAGAATGACAAGAAGGGGTTTAAGTGTAAGTGAACATCAGGTATCTCAAGTCCAGCTGTGCAGGGCACCGAGAGCTGTAAAATGACCTGACATATCTTCTCTGTACTTTCAACATCATGATTTTAAGTAGTGATATTTCTGGGACTTCCATGGTTAAAAGCTAGTGCTTGCACTCTGCCAGTGGAAAGAAAAGCCCATTTCTAACCCTTCAAGTCTATGAGATGGTGGGATTTGAAACCTGAATCTGGTATAGTACTGAATATTTACCACCATGCACTTTGGGCAAGATGCAGTCCTGTGAAGTGGAATTCTTTATTTGGAAGTATTCATTTTAAAAAAATTGTCTGGCAAGTTGATACTTTATTAGAAGGTAGCAGATATGTTACATGATCAAAAATGCATGATGATATTTTTTTTTATCATGGTATGACTGCATGGTTATCACTTCCTGATTTTGTGATGGATATATACTGCACCAGTCTGTAAAATTTTTGAATGTCTAAGTGTTGAATCGTGGGGGAAAACTTACTGGCATCCTCTTCTGCCTTAGAGAGACAGAGAGAGAGAGAGAGAGGGAGACTTTCTCACTACTTCTCATTTCATTTGTAGGTAGTAGACATTTCCAACTCTTAGCAAACAAAATGTGGTGGTGGTAGCCTTAATAGCCTTGAGACTAGGACACTCAGCTGGGTTGTGGAAGGCTCAGGTACAAAGCCCTCCTCTGCCTGTATGGAGCAGAACTTACTTGGATTTGACTTTAAATCTCTGATGAGAATTCCCTGACCAGTAGACTAATGAGTAATTACAGGTGGATGTTTCTCTGTCTCACCCACTGAAGCTGTTCCACTTGTATGCATAATTACATATTTTTTGAAACCTGTGAGTCTTCCACTTGACTCTCCTAGACATCGGGCTGTAGAGACTCTCTCTCTCTCTCTGGCCCGAAGAGTGTTTAGTTATTTATACAAGATAGAGCACCTTCAACAGGAGAAATGGAGAGACCTCCTCCCGCTCATAGTTTAATACCTGTAGCCTAGGAGTTAGGGCATTCACCTTTTGTGTAGCTAGTCACACTGCTGATTCATGTTGACTCTGTGACTCGCCAAGATTTCTAGGTCATTCTCTGTACTATTGCCATCCACACAGTTGTCACCCATTTTGTATGTGTTTTGATTATTCTTCCTGAGGTGCAGCATCCTCCATCTGTCAGCAGTGAATGTCATCCTGTTAGCTCCAGCCCAGCTTTCCAAACTGTCAAGATCCTTCTGAATGTGCTCCTGTTCATCAATATGTTTGCAGTCTTTCCCAGTTTAGTCATCTGCAGATTTTCTCAAGAAGCTTCCTATTTTGGCTTCCAAATAATTAATAAACACATTGAACAGCACTGGGCTGAGGTCAGACCCCTATAGGACTCCGCTCAAAACCTCCTGCCATTCCAACATGGATGTATTTATAATTACACTTTGCTTGCAGGTATTGAGTCAGTTGTTCATCCACCTTATGTGAGTTTGTCTAGCCCTAGTCTCCAAACTAGAAGTCAGCTAGAAATATCCTAGTCAGTGCTCCCAAAGAGAAGCTTTGGGAAATGCAAAGGATCCATGTCAGCCATATTCAGCAGAAGTTCATACATTTGTTGTGAATGCCAGGTTATATAATTCTTTTTTGCCTGGCCAGTGTGATAGAAAAGTCCTCATATGGAGAACTGTGGGCAAAAGCCCAGCAGGGGTGGGAATTAATGGATAAACAAGGGAAGTAGGAACAGGTTGAGTACAAAGGCTGTGTTTTCTTTCAGATGCCTTGACCCCAACTGCATGTTTGTTTAGTGGCTGTACTGTTTAACTGGTTCCACGCAGACTTTGAGAACTGGACAAATTGAGGTAAATGAGGAAACAAAGTAGCTCTGCTCACACTGTGACTTCTGTTGTTACTGTTGCTTCAGGGCAGTTCAGGGCAGCCTGCTCCATGGCTGGACAAGCAGGCATGTGAGTGCTGTTTACTAAATGATGATTCCTATTTTTTTTTTTTGGATGGCAGATCAGCCCAGGGAGTCTTATGTAATAAGTTCAATAAAAATCTCAGTCTTTACAAGAAAACTTGTAAACTGCAAAGAGCTCGTAATAAATCATGACCTGTGTTTTATTATTTTCCTTTGCTATTGTTGTCCTGTGTTACATTGTATCATAACTTTCAAAATGCTTCCTAAATAATCTGACTAGAAGGAAAATCAGCAATGAAGAACAATCTTGTTTCTATTTTGAGGCCTACTCCCATTCAAAAGCAGTTACTTTCATGAATAGTCCTAGCTGTAAAATGATACACAGATTTTTATTATATATGCATTCATTTGTTGTTGCTATGGATTGATTACAGGGTCTACAAAGAGTTAGTTAAAGTTAAAGACAAAATTACACTGATTTCAATGAGAACTTTAGCCTGAAATGTCTCTCTCTCTCTCTCTCTCTCTCTCTCTCTCTCTCTCGTGTGTTTGTGCGTGTGTGCATGTTGGAGAGAGATTTTATAACACCAAAAGTATTATTTATTTAAAGTAGGCAAATAATACATGAGAGAAATGTCTCAGAGCTAGACCCAAAGCCATCCACCTTTTTTTATCTTGTTGTGTGTGATGCTCAGAGACGGACTGAACAGTGATGTTTAGATGATGTGAAATTTTTTCACATTAAGAGATATTTGGGTCCATCTCAGGTTCTGCATTGCTAATTAGCACATATTTAGAGAAAGGTTTACACATTCCAGATCTTCTCTTTTTATTTCATAGTTTCTAGGGTCAGAAGAAACCTGAAAAGATCATCAAGTCCAACCCCAATTCTGTCATGAAATTACATCATATTGCTGAATTTATGACATATCAGACATATCTACAGCAATCTTTGAAATCTTCTAAAAAGAATTATTACTGTGCTAAAAGATTAGAGATGGATAATTTAGTAAATGAGAGAGAATTCTTAGATTTAGATATGGAAAATT